AACAATCTGACAAAACAAACAATAAGCAAAATTTGCACACATTCCCTCTTAGTGCCTAAATTAAATTATCTAGACTTCACTTTGGAATTCTTCATTCTTGTCACGTCCTCAAAATATGCAAATGGGAATATATAGGAGGCGTTTGAATATACAAATCTGTAACTCAGGAATGAAAGCTTGGCCGGAGAAACACATTCAAGATTTAGCCACAAATAAAGACTGAATTAAATGGTGGCAGAAGGAAAGTGCTTGGCATGTAGAACACAGTATCAGTTGTTTCTTGTCTCTGTTCTCATCTCTTCCTCTTCCTCATGTCCTCTCTTGATTATGACATTCACATCAATAAATCACACAAGCCATGAACCCTGCAATTATTTTAGATGCCTTCTTTACTCACCACCTCCACCCATTCTTGCTAATTCTACCTTCCTGGTGTCTGTTGAGTCTCTGCCCTTTCATCCCTGCCTTAGTTCAGAGGGTTATCTCTTAGCTTGACTTACTGCCGCTCCTCCCTAATTTTTCTTCCTGCTTCCAGATTTCCTTTTTAACAAGCTATTGTCCTTCTACTTAAGGAATAATCTGCCTAAATATGCACATTTGATCATGTTACTTCTTATTGCTCAAAAGTCTTTAATTAAATAGATCCCTGTTCATAATAAGATAAAACCTAGATTGGCATACTAACCCTTTCATTATGTGGTGCTTGGCACGATCCCCAAACGTATTTCTTGCCACTTACTGCACCAACTCACCAGACAAATGGAACTACTTGCAATCTGTCATGTGTATTCTGTCCTCTCTAATACATATCAGCTTTAGTATTTCTTTCATCTCTTCTCAACTCTGTCCTCACCCTTCCCTGGGCTCTTTCCTCTTCAACTATCAGCTCAGATGCTACCTTTTAAGTCAAGACGTCTTAGTCTGAGTGTTGTCTTTCTGCCCCAAATTTCTCTTATGGTTTTCTGTGCTCATGGTTGCTCACTGTAATTATTCATATATCAGTTTCTCCACTGTAGACATTGCATTAGAAATACACTTTTTATATCTGTATTCCAAGCACTTAGCACAGACCTGAGACCCAGGAAACACACTTAAGTGTTTGTTGAATGAATGAAAGAGCATTCTCATTCTTTTTTGCCCTACTGTTTCCATATCAGCACATGTTTGTATCTGGGATGAGAATTCGGGGTGGGAATAGGGCTAAATTTACGTATGATGAGACAAAATATATTTAACTGTTATCTTTTGACCACTTTGTCTCAAGTAAGACCCCCTTTCTAGCATTCTCCTACCATTAAGCACATGTTTATTTTCTTCTCTCCCCTACTGAGCTTTGAGTCATTCATGGCAAGAGTCACATCTGTCTTGTTCATTGATGTATAGTCAGTGTCCAGCACAGAATAAGTTCACAAATAATCAATTAATTCCCTTTGGGGGAAGTCTAGGGGAAGACTGGGAGAGGCTCTGTTTTCTTCTTGAGTCCACATTATTTTGACCCTTTAAAGATGACCTTGCGGGAAAGTAATAACTTGGTGGTAGAGCATATGGTTAGCATGCACAAGGCTCTGGGTTCAATCCCCAGTACTTCCATTAAAAAAAATAGTAACAAAGATAGCCTAATTTTTGACACTATCTGTGTAGTATTGCCTTTCTTCCTTGTTGTCCTGCTTAAGTTAGAGATGTTACAAAGTAAGGCATTCCATGTTTATTGGAAAATATGAATTCAATATGCCAAGTTTACCATGATTTTATACACTGTATATATAATTATATGCTATAATCTTTGGCATATCAGTTACATCTCAATAAAAATATTATTTAAAAATACAAATAAATGCAAATATATTATTTTAACCCTAGTAGAAAACTTAAAATGAAATAATAACAAAAGGCAGGCAACCTGGTCATTTTCTTAAGTTCTTTAATTACCATTTCCCTCATGTTGGAAGGCTTCCTATCTTTTTATAAATCAATATTAACAGATTACTCATGAATATCCAGATAATACACAAGTCATCAAAAGTTTTAATAAGTGGACAAATTTCACTCACAGTCTTAGCGTGGCTACGTTTATCCCTCTAAAACTTGGGTACCAATTATTTAAGTGCATATAATGTTTGCTTTCATTTTACAGAATAAACTATAACATAGCCCTGCAGACAAAATGAAGAAATTATACTTTTTGGTCATCCCTAGCCCTAGAGTTATTTTAGGGTTAAACATATAAAAATATATTGAATGTTTGGGCAAAAGAATAAGTATACATACATATAATTAAAATCTTGATACTTAATATTTACAGGATAGATATTACTAAAAATGAGACAGGTGGTTTGGAGACAAACTACCTCTTACCTGCTGAGTCTTTTCTGGACGATATGCACGGACACTAGCTTTATGTCAGATTGTGAAACTTACCTGTAAGATTCTTTATGAATGAAATGATTATCTTGGGCTTCTCTTCTAATATTCCAGAATCTACCACATCTTTAGGATCTTGTGATGCTGGCTCTGGAACAGCTTTTTTAAAGAGAGCAGAACAGTCAGTGATCCTGTGATGTGAGAAAATGAATAGCCACATACTTGGTGAATATCGAGGCAAACAAAATGTGGGTCTAAATTATCACTCTAAGTCTGTAATCACCTCACTAAGTGATCTGGAACACAATGTTTCATTCCATGCTGTTTTCAGTTACAAACACAGTAAAATGCCTACATGTTCTCACAGGTTAATGTTTCATTTCCTTTTCCCCGCTTGGCTCAGTGCTTTATGTGTGTGACTCCTCAGAAGGATAATTCACTTCTTTGTTTTTTCAAAGACACATTTATTGAGTATCCACTCTGTGCCAGGCACAGGACTACGTACGTGGCTACCAGGTTGAATAAGACATTGTCTTTGGCACAAAGGCCTTACTGTCTAACAGTACGTTTGATAGCAAGAGGTTTTCGGAAGTGTGATGTGGTAGAACGCGCCCAGGTTGAGAATTCTAGTATAATTAGTCTTCTCTAATGTCGTTTCGACCAACTCTGTTAAAAAATAGCCACAGTGACAATGACAAATATAAAAAGAATGACTTCAAGTAGCTCAAGAAACCAAACAAGAGCTACCCATTTGAGAACTGGAAGAGGAACGCTGACTACATATAAAACATCAGATGGCATGATATGAAAGACTCTGTCATGCTGGAGGAATGGAAGATCCCCAGGAGTTTTGGGATCCTAGAGAATAGGAAAGGACAACTTGCTGTGATCACTTTGTTGAACCCACAAAAATGCTTATAATATGAATTAGAAATCCCAAACTTAAAAAAAAATTTTTTTTAAATTTTACTTTAATGGAGGTACTGGGGATTGAACCCAGGACCTCGTGCATGGTAAGCATACGCTCTACCACTGAGCTATACCCTTCCCCCTCAAATCCCAAACTTTTTAAATGCAACAATTTCTCAATCCTGGACTTTGTGAGAGTGATAGCTCTAAATGTATTGTACATACAAAGTAGAAGTTCTCTTATTCTGAGAGAGAGGCGTGTAGTGAAGACAAGAAATTCTCACTTTAGTCCAGCAAAGGCTCATTTCTATATTATACTCTAACCACTGCACCAACTTCCAGATGTGAATCTTTGTCAAACTCTTCTGGGAAAAACCAACACTGTCTACTTACTCTCTGAGAAAGTTTATTTCCCTGCTCTACACTGGCACCAGAACAGCTGACTATTGCTAGAGAACACCACAGTGCTGGTCAGTCTTTCATTACACACATGGTCCCAATCTTAACTGGGTTGTCAACACTGCCTTTTATCCTTTCTTAGTAGATTTTCTATTGTTGCATTCTCTTTTATTAATCCTCCTACAGTCCCTCTTCTCTCTCAGCTTCAGATGATGCTTTTACATCATACTTCTTTCAGGAAATAGAAATAGTCATGAATTTCCTCACGTACTCTACATCAAATCCACCAGCCTTCCCTGCTTCTATATCTACATCCTTTTTGCTTTGATAATTGTTAAAACACATGATATCTCAGTTCCCATCAAAAGTCAATTCCTCTGCCTCCTACTGTTGGTAAGAATGTAAATTCTATGGAAAACAATATCTCCATACTGTTTTCTTAAAAAAATAAAAATAGAGTAATCATATGATCCAGCAATCCCAATCCTGAGCATATATCCCGAGGGAACTCTAATTTGAAAAGATACCTGCACCCCAATGTTCATACCGGCACTATTTACAATAGCTAAGACATGGAAACAAACTAATGTCCGTTGACAGATGAGTGGATAAAGAAGATGTAGTATATATATACAATGGAATACTACTCAGCCACAAAGAAGAATGAAATAATGACATTTGCAACAACATGGATGGACCTAGAAATTATCATACTAAGTGAAGTAAGTCAGAGAAAGGCAAATATCATATGACATCAATTATATGTGGAATCTAAAAAGATGATACAAATGAACTTATGTACAAAACAGAAACAGACCCATAGACGTAAAAACAAATTACGATTACCAAAGGGGAAAGGGAGAGGGGTATAAATTAGGAATTTGGGATTAGCAGCTACACACTAATAGATAAACAACAAGGGCCTACTGTATACCACAGGGAACTATATTCAATATCTTATATTATCTATAATGAAAAAATATGAAAAATTATATATATATAAAACTGAATCACTATGCTGTACACCAGAAACATTGTAAGTCAACTGTACTTCAATTTAAAAAAGTCAGTTCCTCTCTACTTGCAGTTTAGATACCATGCTGATTTGTCAAGGATGTACTACAGCAATTACTCACCATCTTTCCTGTGTATTAATTTCTCTCCATATATATACCTCCAGCAGCATAAAAATATTTCTCACTCTCACCCATATTTTTGAACAAATTCTTAATACTGTGTTTCCCTCCATTAATCTATTTTCTCTTCCCTGTTAAAAACAAAACTTCTCCAAAGGGTTTCCCCATTCTTTATATAATCCACTTCTAATCCACTTTTGTTAGACTTCCACCTTCATCATTCTATCCAACTGTTTTTCCAAGACTTCCAATGACGTCTATCTTGTCAAAATCAAGGATCATTTTCATCTTTATCTTATTAAACTTTAACCTCTCAGAATGTTTGACATAATTCCCTCTGTCTTGAAATAACTTTTCTTAATTTTTCTGTCTCAATTTCTTCTATAAAGGAGAACACGGTACCTATGTTTGACCTGAGCCATATGGTTGTGATGGTTAAATGAGTTAATACAAGAACAGAATTTAGAATAGTGCTTGGCATATGATATTTCTCAATAAATGAAAGCTATTATTGTGTCCTGTGATGTGCTATCCTATTTCCCCTCCTATTTCAGTGATCACTTCTAGGTTTGGTTTCTGGCTATGTCTCTGCTGTCAGATCTCTAAATTTTGGAGCTCCTCAGAACTGAAGCCCTGGGCCCTTTTCTCTTTTCTGTCATAACTCTCTCCCTGTATGATCCCACAGAGCACCCTGCCCTTGATTATTGTACATATGTTGATGCCCCAAATTCATGTCTTCATCTCTTACCTGTCGCTACAGTTCCCAACTTAACTGTCTACTTGGCATTGTCACTTTAAAGTCTAATAGCACTTCAAATTTTAAATGTTAAAAGCAGAATTTTTAGTTTCCTCTGTGGTTTTCCCCATATTGTATATAGCACTAATCCTCACCCAGTTTCTTAGACACCTTGATTGCTTTGTTTTCCTCATTCATCAATCAGTTAAGTCCTGTGGGCTCTACCATTGGAAGTTTTCCTGAAACCCTTCGTTTCTCTCTGCCTCAGCCATGAGGACCTCTTTCCAGAATACTACACAAAGCTCCTAAGAGGTCTCTCACCTTCCATTCTTGGCTTTCTAGTGTCTAATTTCTACCCAACAACAACCAGAGTTATCTTCATCCTGCCATGTCCCTCCCCTGATGAAGCTCCCCGGGCTTCTGCATACTGCAGCCCGCATGATCCTATGGTTCTCACCATGGCCTGCGCTCTCAGCCAGCTCTCCCATGCTTCCCACTTCCTCACTGAGCTTCAGCCTTCCTGGATTTTCTACGTTTCTCCAATGGGCTCAGCTCATTTCTCCCCTAAGGTCTTTGCACTGCTGTTCCCTCTGCACAGAACGCCCCTCCTTCTGGTCTTCACGTGGGTCCCCTTTCTTCTCACACAGGAATCTGTCCAAATGCCTTCAGCTCAGGGGTCTTTCCTGATCACTCAGTCTAAACTAGTCTTCTCTGGTGGTTTATTATATAATCACTCTTTCTTAATTTCTTTGTTAACACTTATCATTATCTAAGATCGTCCGATTGATGTGTTTCTTTTTTCCTTGTTTATGGTTATTTCTCCCAGTGAGTAATGCAGCAAGAGCTTCCTGAAGAAGGGATCTTCTTCAGTGCTGGGTCCTCAGTGAGCAGAGCAAGATCTGACACCTGGTACTTGCTAAATAAATATTGTTGAATAGGGGAAGGTTCAAGAGGGGATGTTTCTAACAAAATGTGAGAACAGCCAAGAACAATCCATGTATTCTCTCTGTTGGCACCACTAAACCTTCAAGGTGGCCTCTCCTTAACTATAAGTAAACAGTCCATCCCTTAAAGTATAACATCCCTTCCAAGCTCTACCCCTGGTCAGCGAGGACTTGAATACCAAAAATATTGGGTTGCAAAGAATATGGAATATTCACACCTAAGTGTCAAAGAAAAGTCTGTTAAATGCAGGACTTGCTTTCTCAGTTAATCTCCCTCAGGCTGCTGTGACAAGTTGGAGGATCCCCTAATTTTCTCCATTCATGAATTGTTGATAATAATCTCTGCCTTTTTGCAAGTGTCAGCTGCTCAAATAAAATATTTCCCACATCAAATGCTTTGCCAATATGTTATTGTCATTACTAGTACATGTGGCATTTGGATTATTTACAGAAGCAGGGATTGGTTTGGAAAAATCCGAATTCTCTCCTCATGATGATTGCCATGTATCTTTCATGCATGTATTCATTCCTTCAACAAATATGTACAGAATACCTAATATGTGCCAGGAAATAAGCCTGAAAATAAGCAATGAGTTACTAAACATATACTGTTTATGTCCGCCCTTTTCTGAGTATCATACTAAAGCAAATTATCAGTATCACCAATGACCAACATACCAGAAATGTCATAATTTGGACTAGACATGACATATGGCAGTCCTGTAGTGTAAAATTTCTTTTCTTTTTCTTGGAAGGATTGAGTTGGTGATGTATATAAATTTAAATATTCTGTCCTGGTGATATTCAATGTATTCTCCATAACATAAAGATTGTCTTTCAGTTGGGAAAGCTGCAAAAACACATCATCCAGGTCCTAGAAAGCAAACTGTAAATAGTGAGCGTTAAGAAGAAGATAGAAAGTGCTCAATCAAAATAATTTTGATTATTTTACATTATGTCCTGAAAAAAAGAGATGCTACAAAAGCACATCTAGAGAAAATACTTAATACACAAAGGTGGCTTCCAATAGTACATTACAAAAAAGTCTATATTTAAGATAGTTTATTATTTAAATTATTTTATTATCAATTTTTCCTTCTTGATTTCTTGAGGTTTAAAAGTCTGCCTATCAGGTGAACTGTACCTTACTTGATCTAAATGGAGAAGAGAGATCATTAGATTGGACTTTATTTGAAATAAAATTATACATGTGGCATGGAAGTTTACTCTTTGAAGGACTTCTACCATAAAACTCTATGAGGCAAGTATTTCCATTAATATTTCTTATAGAAATAAATCCAGTGAAAGAGAAGTATATATTCAAACTATTTAAGACAATTAAACATGTAAAACTAATTGTCAAATTTCCATCTTGGGCTCATAATAATGTTCAATTGCAAACAGTCTTATAATTTCCCACGTCAGTGAGGCATCTCAGGGGTGAAAGAGGAAAACCTATGCTTATTTTCTAATGCAAACTGTAGAGAAAATATACATAAAAAATATATATATACATATATATATATACACACTATAAAATAACTCATTTGGCAACACCTGTTAGCTGGGTCTATTAAGAACTTTGAAATGATAAACAGTGACTTCTCTATTAATGTCTACTTCAGTTATTTTGTGTTGCATCTAGAAACACACAATTTAAGCATTGAGATATTAAATGTGAAGAACACTTTACTAAAATTAGTTTCCTGGTTGTGCTGACAAATAGAACAAATAATTTTCCGACAGGAGCCAGAGATCCAGTGACTTAAATGCTGTATGGGTAATCTAATTATAAACAAGCCTTTGGTGACATCTAGTGGTGAAATATAGATTTATTTATTCACTTTTTTCTAACTTTAAAGATGCCACTACTTTATATAATCTTGAGTGATGCTAGGACAAATTGGAGTTTGGAACAGAATGGAGAAATTTAGCAAACTTCTTTCCTTCAATAAAAAACCTTAAAGCTTGTTAAGAACAAAGAGGAAGACATAAAAGAGAAGTAAATGTTAAAGATTTTTACATTTTATTGTGAGAAATTTACGTAGAGAATAAAATTTAAAACAATTTGCTCACCAGCTTATATTGTAAATATACTTTTTATGCAATTATGTTTGCCTGGTGTAGCTCTTCTCTAGTTCTAAGTAGAAGTACCACACTACTTGCTCTGGTTGGCAATATTCCAGGAATGTGGATTAAGAATAAGAGAACAGTTGGAAACTGTGTATATATTTCCTATTTTCCATTATTTGCCATTATTCATTATATTTTATTACCACTATAATTTTTAGGATGATAGAGTAAAGATGTCCTTACAATTGGTGGCAGCAAATTTTGTTGATCTAGTTTTCAATTATATGCTATTTGAGCAAAATAACTTGCCAAACAATTTGGCAAGTCTTTGATTTTTACTTGGCTGTAGGGCACAAAATGATCTATATTTTTAACAAATGAACCCCCTTAGAGCTGGAGTCAGCATGTTTCAGTGGCAGAAATACAGGGCTAGAGACAGTCAAAGCCTGTATTCAGGTGTATATTGACTAACAGAAATCCCAGGAAATTAGTTAATATCTTTAAGTCCAACCTCATTTTTAGAATGAACATATTGGATTAGACAAATTTCAAGCTTCCCCTGAATTCCGACCTTATTTTACTTTTATATGACTATCTGTATGCTTTATTTATTCACTGGAACAAAATTCTACCAAAGAGTAGGGAAAAAAATTACAATTATTCTTCTAAAGGCTGTGTCTACATATTACAAGTGGAACTAGAATTTTGTTAATTACCCAGTTAATTTAATTACTTTTAGCATTTAAATCCAAACTCAATTTTTCAGAGCCTCATTTACCTACATTAATGTGTCTATGTTGATTAAAGTAAACATTTAGTCTGCACTTTGCTGTGTTGATTTAGCCCTGTGAACTGACAGGGAAACAATGAGAGAGGATATAATAACATAGACTACAGAGCTCCTCGGGGGAAATGCGTGTTTTCTTTCCGCTAGATATGCCCCACTACCTTGATCACACTCTAAATGAGCAAGGAAATACTTGAAATACGTAGTCAAAATTTTAGGGACAAGTATTGTTTTTATCAATTCATTAAAACCCAGTCACTGAGTACCTACTCCACGCCAAGGGCACTGTGTCTGGGGAGACGGTGGGGAAGAGCGGACCCAAGCCTTCGTGGAGCGGACAGCCAGTCTAGCTGGGAAAGTTGGCATCGACTGAATTAGAACTAAATGGAGCTTTGCGAGAGCCTGTGGGACTTTGTGATAACGAGACCCGAATTTTGTCGGGAAATTTAGGATGCATATTAAAAAGGTAAATTTTATCCACTATTTCTGAGATGCCTCTAAAACAAAGATTTTTCAATCTATTTTAGTCTGTCTTCTTTCAGGAACTAAAAGTGAAAACTTTACTCAAATACAGAATTGAAAGACTGCAGGGTATGGTCAGTTGCAGTGTGTGTCACAAGAAACGGCTTACTTTTTGAAAAAAATAGAGCAAACCCCAAATCACTCTGCAATCATGCTCTTCTCACTCTTGTTTGCTGTGATGCTTTGGTGAGTGCGAGAAAGTGTCTATAGCTGGTGCGTCAGGACTTTTACAGGCTTGTGAAGGGGGACAATTAACGGTGTCTGTCTGTCTTGAATATGAAGGTTGAAGAAACCAAAGCCCTTACTTTGCTTTGGAGTATCTTTTGTGGTATTTAACTTTCCTCTGATTTGGTATCATACATGATCCTTAGGCTCTTTTGTTTTCCAGAAAAAGGGTCAATTTTTTTGTCCTCTTGCAAAAAATCTACAGATCTACTGGCATGTTTGGCTATAGGATTCAGATCCCACAACTCTAACTGAGGCCTACAGTGCACCCAGTGCTGCCAGAGTTATGTGATTCCCACAACATGGTTTGATGTGTAATGAAATGGAAGCTGGTAAACATTAATTAGAAAAGACACCTGCACCCCCATGTTCGTTACAACACTATTTACAATACCCAAGACATGGGAACAATCTAAATGTCCACTGATGGATGAACGAATGAATGGATAAAGATTATGTGGTGTATATATACAATGGAATATTATTCAGCCATAAAAATGTAATCTTGACATTTGCAACAATATGGATGAAACTTGAGGGCATTATGCTAAGTGATATAAATCAGACTAAGGCAAATATTGTATGTTCTCACTTGTACTACGTGGGATCTAACAACAGCAGCAACAGTAAAACAAGCTCAGAGATACAGAGAACAGATTGGTGACTGGTGGTTGCCAGAAGCAGAGGGTGGGGGCAAAATGGGTGAAGAGGGTTACAGAGTTCAAGTTATAAAATAAATATTCATGAAGATGTTTATGTACAGCTTGGTGACTATAGTTAATAATACTGTATGGCATATTTGAAAGTTGCTAAGAAAGTTAATCTTAAAAGTTCTCATCACAAGAAAAAAAATCTGTAACTATGTGTGGTGATGAATGTTAACCAGACTTATCCTGGTGATCATTTTGCAGTATATACACATATTTAATCATTATGTTGTATACCTGAAATGAATGCCATGTTAAATGTCCATTATACATTAAAAAAAAAAAACGTGAAAGGGAAAAGGAAATGGAATAGCAATTCAGTCCATCAATGGGTAGGATTATTTGTTGGTTCTTGGCAGGCGTTGTCCGACTGCTTTCTAAAAAATACTTCAAGTTTACAGTATCACTAGTGCCTGTTTTGCCCATCACTGACCTTGATAAATATTTGTTGACTGAATGGTTATAATGTTTGATATAAAGTCTGCTGATAAGCTCATTGGCACTCAGATCTGACCTCGAGTCTAGGTGTCTGTCTTTTACCCTTTGTCCCTTTGCTCATTTCCATGCAATTTTGTTCAGATGTCTCCTAAATACATTTAATCTCAGATGCATCGTGCAAGGAGTTCTGAAAACCCAGCTTCACTCTTTTAATGCAGCATTTTTCCCAAGAAAATCTCCATGCCTGCATGTTAGTGAGTCACTTAACAACTGATCAATTAGCAATAAGACACTGACTCAGAAATAAAGAAAAAGTTTCAACAAAATGGTATGAGCAGATGACAAATCTGGGAAAGAATGCTTCCTTTTTTTTTTTTTTCCATTTAGCCCACTGACCCTTTTTTTCTGGACTGGAATAGGGATGCCTTCAAAGATGTTCTTATGCTGCTGCACAGAACTGTTCTGTGCTGTTTATGGTTGAAGACAAGCTCGCCATTCAGTGAGGCAACCCTGCCGCTGTCTTACACACAAAAGAACGATTCAAGGGTAACCGACTTGATATCCTAGTATTATATCCTAAACATAAAATATTTGCAGTCCTAGTCTGAAGTATACATTTGAAATGTAAAGCAGGAAAGACATGTGAATATAGACTCAGTTATTAACACTACTTGTATTATTAAACATAGTTTATTGGAAAACATTCCCAGGATATAAGTAGTGAGTTATTTGTTTGGGGAGGTAGGTAGAAATTCCTCCTCCTTACTAAACAATCTCGTTTGATTTCTTCATGTTCAGTAAATTCTAAGCACTGGGGAATACATTTTCCTTCCTATAACTCAATGTGGTTTGCATTAGTCCTTAATAAATATATTATGATATGCTCCATACCTCCGTTTGCAGTTTCAGAAATCATTGTGTAGCTTCCTGCCAACCACCTCCAAAATGAACAAACAGGCTATTGCACTCAAGGTGAGTAACTGTGTATCTTTTAAAATTGAATTATTAGCCTTTTAAAAAATTAATCATCCTCACT